CCAAACCCCTTCTGCCTGTCTGCCTGTGTTGAACTGGAGTGAACAAAGCACTTTCTGTACTTCTTTCTGAATTCCCTCATCAGGATTCAGTCCGGTGCATTTTCTAGATCTGATGGGAGAAGTTTGTGGGCAGGAGCCAATGCACTGCTTCCTACCGCCATATTAGCTCCACCTCCCAAAACAATCTTTGTATAACTTCCATGCACTGGTCCTAGTTCTGTACTCTGGGGCCATGAAAATCAAATCGAATCCTTCTTCCACATCCCAGCCCTTTGATGCTTGAAGACAGCTATTCCTCCCCCCTCTAAGTCTTCTTTTCTCCAGGTTTAACACCGCCAGTTTAATCAAGTGATCTTCATGTCCCGTGGCTTTGATTCCCCTTCCCTTCTTGGCCCCCATCCTCAAGTGCACTCACACTTGTCATCAACACTTCTAAAATGAGGTACCCGAAAAAGGAGTGATTTCCAATATGCCCTCTGTCTAAGGCAGAGTAGAACAGTCTATCCTTCACTCTGCCTTCCATAATAATCACTGACATTTCTATAGTACTTCAAGATGGCAAAGTGCTTTCTATACATTAACTTATTGGAGCCTCACAACAATCCTGTGAGGTAGATCCCACAGATATTATTATTCTCATTTAACAGATAAAGAAACAGGCTTAGAGAGGTTACTTAATTAGTCCATGATCATATGGCTACTAAAAGCCCCAGGTGGGATTTAAAACTGGGTCTACCTGACTCCCAGAGCAGCCTTACATGTTACACTTGTATGTTACATGTAGAGCAGCATCTCCGTTCTTTAGTTTGCCACGTCATAATGGTGACGCATGTTGACCTTGTTGTTTTCTAAAACCTCAAGGTCTTTTTCAGATTAAAGATTAATTTCTTTTTTTTAACTTTTGTTTTTAAAACTTTGGGTTCCAAATTTTCTCCCTTCCTCCCTCCCCACCCACCCTCACTGAGAAGGCAAAGCAACTCAATAAAGGTTATACATGTGTAGTCACGCAAAACACTTCCATAGTAGCCATGTTGTGAAAAATGAACTCTATTTCCCTTCATCCTATCCCTCCCCCCATTTATTCTATTCTCCCTTTTGACTCTGTCTCTCCTTAGAAGTGTTTGCTTCTGATTACCCCCTCCCCCAATCTGCCCTCTCGTCTATCATCCTCCTGCTCTCTTGTACCCTCCCCTATTTTCCTATAGGGTAAGATAGATTTCCATACCCAATTGAGTGTGTATGTTATACCCTCCTTAAGCCAAATACAATGAGAATAAGATTCACTCATTCCCTCTCATCTTCCCCTGTTTCCCCTCCACTGTAAAAGCCTTTTCTTGTCTGTTTTATGTGAGATAATTTACCCCATTCTACCTCTCCCTTTCTCCTTCTCTCCAGATAATCATCTCTCACCTTTTAATTTTATTCTCCAGATATCACCCCTTCATCTTCAACTCACCCTGTGCCCTCTATCTATTTATACATACACATAATTTTTCCCTCCCACTACTCTAACACTGACAAAGGACTCATGAGTTACAAATATCATTAAAGATTAATTTCCATCCTAAACCTATATGGCTTATTTTTTAAAAATCCAAGTTTAGGACTTTACATTTATTTCTGTTAATGTACAACATTTCAACCCTTTGAAATCTTTTCAGACCTCCATTACGTTATCCCTTTCAATTTTATATCTTCTGAAAATTTGACAAGCATAAAATCTATGTTTTCATTCAAGGCATTGATAAAAATGCTTCAAAGAACAGGGAAAAGGACAGAAATACACCACCACCACCACTATACACACACACACACACACACACACACACACACACACGCACACATCATGGTAATTCACCAAAGTCATCCCAAAGCTTTCTGGAAGGAAGGAAGGAAGGAAGGAAGGAAGGAAGGAAGGAAGGGAGGGAGGAAGGAGGAAAGGAAGGAAGCAAACATTTATTAAGTGCCTATTATGTGCCAGGCACTATGTTATGTGTTTTCCAAATACTATCATTTGATCTTCACAACAACCTTTGGAAGTAGATGTTATTATTATCCCCATTTCACAGTTGAGGAAACAGACAAAGATTAAGTGACTTGCTAGTGAGTGTGTGAGGCTGGATTTGAACTCAGCCCTTCCTGACTCCAGGCCTGTACTCTACCTATTATCCCACCTAGCTGCCTTATAAGAATCCTATTTATTTTTCAAGGTCTGGTTCAAGCATCCCGTGCCTTTGTGATTTTAAGTACCTTGACTTTCCTGAATCTGTTCCACACCTTGCTCTGCCAGTGATTTCTCCCACCTCCAAGTCTGGTAGCATTCATTATCTATTCCACTCATTTGTCATCTACTGCCTGGCTTATCAGTTAACTTTTCTCTGTGCATGTGTATTGTGATCTCAATTAGACAGTAAGCACTTTGAGGGCAGGGAGCTTGTCTTATACTTTATATTTGACACAGTACTTATCTTGATACTCTATACAGAAATGGTGTTCAGTATGAATTTGTTATCTGGTTGATAAATATCTTCCTTCTACTTAATTTGGTGATACCATAGAAAAAGCACTGACTTTGAAGTCAGAAGACCCAGATCATTTAACATCTCCAATCATCAGTTTCCACATCTGTAAATTGGACTACATGGCATCCAAGGTGGTTTCCACCTCTAAATAATAATTCTATGATCCTCCTCTCCCTCTCTTCTTCCCATATAATCTCCACAGTTTCCATCTACCAAGTCACATTTGTCCTTGATTTCAAATCCACCACAAAGTCCAATTGTCTAAAGGGATGGAAATAATTGAACTCCTCATGAAAACTGAAGCAAAAGTAATATGGAGCAGAACATGGAGACAATGATGTTGGACCAGTTTTTCCTTCTCATAAACCAGAGTGTTTGAACATAGTAACCATTTGCTTACGTATGTTCTATCCTATACATATGCCGAAGGCACATAAGGGTCACCATTAAGTCCTCTGCTGAACAAACACTTGGGTGTGATTGACCTTGGCAGCATCTGGCACATCGCCATCATCATGCAAGGAGAGATTGTGTCTAATCAGGCATTCTCCCTCCCCCTTCCCCCTCCCCAGGGTGCTCAATAATGTTGATGACGACTATTGCCACTGAGGCGTCAATCCTACACTGGGCAGTGCAGCAAGTGATATGTACTCATGTAGCAGGCAACAGCTGTTGATTTTGTTCTGGGTATTTGAGCAACAGAACTTGGCCTGAGTGCTTATAATGTCATGTTGGAAATTCCCAGGACAATAGTTCTTGTGCTTTCCTAATGGACACATTTCCCCCGGATGGACACAATCTCTAAAAACGTGCTTCTTCTTTGTCCATGGTTGCTTTTGGTTCAGGATGCTGGAAAGTGAGGTTTGCCATAGAAATCCTTTAACAAAAATCTAGCGATAATTGATGGGTTGCTAGAGAACTTCAGGGGGTTGTTTGCTCTGTACAAATTCTAAAGATTGAAATAGGGTAATGCAGTCCATTCATGTGCATAAATTACTGAGGAAAGAGCTAATTAATAATATACTTGTCAGGCTAGAGTAGATTAGCATGTTTTTAGGCATGATTGAGCCCTGCCCTTGGAATCAAGCACATCTGCATTCCCATTTAATAATCTTGTGGCTATGGGCAAGTCACTCAGACTCTTCTGGTCCTAAGTTTTCCCATTTATAAAATGGGGATAATAATACTTGCACTATCTATTTCACAGGGCTGTTGTGAGAAAGCACTTAGTGAAATAAAAAACCCTTTAGGACTGTGAGCAGTGGTTGTATTTTTCTGTAAGTGAATCCAAATCCTTTTGCTCTTAAGTTTATATCTGGTTGCTGGGGCAGCTAGGTGGCCAGTGGATAGAGCACATGGAGTCAGGAGGACCTGAATATAAATTCGACCTCAGACACTTACTAGCTGTGTGACCCTGGGCAAGTCATTTAACCCTGATTGCCTAAAACAAATAACAAAAAAAAAACAAAAAACCCCAAAACACACAAGCAAATAAACAACCAAAAAAATTATATCTGGTTCCCAGCACAGGGATCCCATAATAAAGAGTATTTCTTTCTTTGTGACTACAGAACAGAGTTGTTGTAGACTTTGATATGTCTTGGAGCATTTCCTGGGCTTTCAGAACTTTAGCTATTAAAGAGTTAAAGCCCTTTCCTGTCACCCTTTGCCCCTAGCTTTCTCAAGGCTGCAGTTTGCAATACTAAGAATGATAAACTGTGGAACAGGTGCACTTGGCATATTTATTTGAGAGAATTACTAGGGTTCTCTTGTAAAATAAGTTTCCAGTCTCTAGTATACTGAAATGGAGAGGGGAAAATGAGTGGGCTTGGGCTTTCCTTCAGGACCCCTAGAGAACTTAGAGTGTCTTCCAGATGGTTTCCAGTGCTAAACTCAGGCAGGCAGTCAACATTTATTGAGTACTGACTGTATGGAAATCATGCTGATTCCGTGCTGATCGAGGTGAAGGTACTGCTGTTATCATAAAGACAAATCAAAAAAGGGGATCTGTTTCACTTCCCTCCAAAGAGCTAAAGCTTCCCTGGAAAGGGACAGTGGATTGGGCAGTGAAGAAATTGTCCAGTAGGTGGCTGGCATTCTCTAGTCTAGAAGTAGCCCACAGTCATTTCTAATTGTTCTATTGAGCAGTCTTGCTAGTGAGAGCTGTCACGTGCAGTCTATCCTGCCTATAGGATCCGAGGCTTTCTAAGAGCAGTTTCTTTCCCTCACTTTAAACCTGTCTTTTTTAAATACAGGGAGAGACGGGGGAATGAAAGCAGCAGTCAAAAGTTCTGGCATATTGCAATCAAGCAAACTCATGCTAGTGCCTAGCCTGGAATAGCATACAGAGGAGGTAAACTAATCAGATTGAATTCTGAGCATGTTCTCTCTCTCTGTTTTTTTTTTCCTACCCTGGGCTTTCCTCGGATTTTTTTTTCTTTGCAAACTTACAGATTGATTTGCTTGGTTAGATGAATCTGAAGAACAGAACAGACTCAGGATCAAAAGCCTGGCTGGCATGTCTCAGATGCCATGGTATGTGAGGACTTCTGCCTAGTGATGTTTTTCTTAAAGAAGATAAATTGCCCAGCATAAAACTTAGCCTCTCTTTCATCCAAAGGCTGTACCACAACAATTTCTTCTTAAGAGTATCTAAGAGCACACTTGGGTGGCACGAATTTAAATGATGGTGCCAAAGGAATGCTTTTTCATGGATTTGGAAGAAGACAACTTCATTAGTTGCAACATCTCTAACAACAGTGAAAACTTCTCTCTGAGGAATGACTGGTTTAACCCAGGATTCCTGTATATCATCCCCATTGTGTATGGGCTCATCATTCTGATAGGACTGGTTGGCAATATTACCCTGATCAAGATCTTTTGCACAGTCAAATCTATGCGAAATGTTCCCAACTTGTTCATATCCAGCCTGGCTTTGGGAGACTTGCTTCTACTCATCACATGCGCCCCTGTGGATGCTAGCAGGTATCTGGCAGACAGGTGGCTTTTTGGCAGAATTGGTTGTAAACTGATCCCCTTCATCCAGCTCACTTCAGTTGGGGTGTCAGTCTTTACACTCACAGCTCTCTCTGCAGACAGGTAAGTGTCCTATTGAAAGCCCAATCTCAGTCTTCGATTTGGGTGCTTTTGTTAACTGTCCCCACCCCTGTAATAGCAAATTTCCTGTGTTCATACTGAGTCTTTTGGGAGCCTAGGCTCACTGGCGATCGGGCTGCCTCTTCAGGGTTTACTTCTGAAAGTTCATTGGTAAGAAGTTTCCAAGAGAAAAAGAGTCAGTAATGGGATGGAAAAAGGGGAGCATCGGGTAAATATACTGTCTTTCAAAGGGACATCTGAAATAGGAGAGAGATGCACATTTAACAGTGGGTTGAACTGATGTATTTCTTCTATGTCATTGCTTTTAACCTCACTCCCCCTCCAAGTTTCTAAGAGAAAACTAATAAAACCTGGCACAGTTTATATTTTAGACAGAATATTCCTTCTTAGAATATTATAATTATGATTATGTATTTATTATATGATATTACTATAGGTTATATATTATATTATAATAAAATATTATTCTTAAGAAAAGCTACAAAGGAGGAGTTGGTTTTATGTCCTTTCTTTTCCAGTATATACTTTTAGACAGAGCTAAGAGCACAGATAAACTGGATTTCTTTGAATTCATTTCTCCTGGACAGCTTTTTCTCATGGCTAAATTCCAGGGTGAGTTTAGGTGAATTGAACAGTTTGCACAGTGAGATCTGCTGTATGTATATCTCTGTAGTGAAACTTCACACAAGTTTACATTTTTTGAGAAAGGGATATGCAAGTTTGAATCCTGTCTTGCTTTTGTGGTTCAGTTGTATTCTACTCTATGTGACCCCATGGGCTTTGTCCATGGGGTTTTCTTGGCAAAGATACTAGAGTGATTTCCAACTTCCTTCTCCAGGGTGTTCTGTTTTATAGATGAGGAACTGAGGCAAATAAGGGTTAAGTGACTTGCCCAAGGTCACACAGCTAGCAAGTGTCTGAGGCAAGACCTGAATTCAGATATTCCTGACTCTAGGCCCAGTGCTCCATGCACCACACCCCTTATCTGTGTCTTGCTAGAAGTGACTAATTTTATCATGTGTTCCTATTGAAGTGTTCCTATGCCCATTGCCTCTGGAATTTAGTCCAGCATGGTGCATCCTTCTGAGGAAAATTGAACACATGAACTTTTCTCCCCACAGGAACTCTTTAGGAATTGGTATTCATGCAGCAAATATTTAGAACACCTAATTAATATAGTTGAGAGAGTTTCTTTAAGAAACAGATTAGGAAATATATATAGTATACTCAGATTTACTCCTTTTGAATGACTTAATGGACTTTGACTAATTAAATATCTGTAGAGAATAGTAACCAGGCTTCTCAGAATTTCAAAGTCTGAAATCGTTTTTCTTCAAAATACTATGAGTAGGTCATGGTACCAAGTGAAGAAAACTGTTGGTATGAGGTTTCTGGGAAATGCCTTCTAATTTTACCTCCAAATCAAATCTCAATGATTCTGCTGTTACAGAAGTTTGATATACTGAAGAAAAAAAGAAACAACAGGTAAAATAAGAGAGATGGTTCACTCTGTAGATTTCTATCAGAAGGGGCCCTACATGTGGTGCTGGGTTCTAATTTTGTAATCTAATTTGGATCCTAATTTGTTATCTGGCTCTGTGGAGTTTTGTATAAATAAGAGAGAATGTTATCTATCTGGGTAAAGGGATGGACACTGTTACCTGAAGTATGCTTCATCTAAACAGTAATTTCAAAAAAATGATCAAAGAACAGAGAAAAAGAAACAAAGTTGTGACACTTTCCCTTATAGGACAGGGTTTCATTTATTCAGAGCCTTCTTTGCAATGAAACCACTCCTGTGCACTGTCCTGCTGGGCTTCAATGAGTATAGATGATTTTAAATGTCGAGACCACAGCAGAAAATTTCTTTCCATCCCCCTGCAAAGTTTGTGGTTGAAGGCTGAGGGCCTTCCTGGATGAGATATTAACTACATACAGGGAAAGAAGAGAGTTTGCCACCTAGTTGGGAAGGCAATTGGTGCAGCCGCCTTTTTTATTTTTTTAACTCATTCGTTGTTTGCTGTGTAAAACGAAAGGGAAGGAAGAGAATGAGAACAAAACATTGAGGTGATCTCCAGGGTGTCAAACCTTGGCAAACTTTGTCATCGGCAGAAATGAAACCTCCCTTCAAAAGTATCTTGGGGTCAAGAAGGAGAAGAAGCCTTAGGTGTATGCAGAATGTGAGGTGTGCTTAAGTGTGCCAGGACACCCATCTCACCCTCCTAAGGAAGAAACTCAGCTCTTACTGGGTGTAAATGCTTCTCTCTATCTTGAGCACTTTTTGGAAACCCCAGTAAGGTTAACTGCTGAGAGTATCGCTAGCATGGCTATTATGGTAAACAACATGCCATAAGCTTCAGAGTATACTCTCAAGTTCAGAAACTGACAGAAAGGAGTTTTTGTGGTTGTGATTGTTTAGTCATATCCAGTTCTTCATGACCCCATTTGGGGCTTTCTTGGCAAAGATACTGGAGTGGTTTGCCATTTCCTTCTTCAGCTCATTTTACAGATGAGAAACTGAGGCAAATGGGGTTAAGTGACTTATCCAGGGTCACACAGCTGGTCAGTGTCTGAGGCTGGATTTGAACTCAGATTCTATTGATTCCTGGCTAGGCAATCTATCTACTGCACTACCTAGCTGCCCCATAAGGGAGTTAAAGGAGATTATTTACAGAGTAAATATTCTGACATTTTATTTCCACATCATGCAGTTTCCATTTCAGAGATCATCCCTATTTGCTACCTTCTTTCTGCTCCTCCAACCTTGAATTCTGTCCCTGGGACTCTGGGCTAATATAGGTGAGTTTTCACCTTATCTCACCTGGAACCAGGCACTCATAGCATGGGTCAGCCATCGGCATCACATATTGCCTTCCCTTCTCCTTTTTTAGGATTATCTTCCCTTGTTAGAATGTAACCTCCTTGAGGGCAGGAACTGTCTTGCTTAGTTGGATTTATATCCCAGTGCTTGGCAGATAGTAAATACTTATAAGTATTTTTTCTATCCAGTTATTTAGTTAATTAATTAGCTACATTTGATGAGCACTTCTTTTTTATATTTCATATTTTTTTATTAATTTATTTTGATTTATCAACAATCACTTCCATAAGCTTTTGAGTTTTAAATTTTTCTCCCCCTCTCTCCCCAAGATGATGCCCAATCTGATGTAGGCTATACATATACATTCCTATTAAACATATTTTCACATTAGTCATGTTGTAAGGAAGAATTAGAACCAATAGGAAGAACCATCAGAAAGAGGAAACAAAACACAACAGAAGAAAAAAATAGCAGTTAGTATGCTCTGATCTGCATTCAAATTCCATAGTTCTTTCTTGGGATGTGGATAGCATTTTCCATCATGAGGCCTTTGGAGATGTCTTAGATCCTTGCATTGCTGAGAAGGGTTAAGTCTATCAATGTTAGTCATTGCACAATGTAGCTGTTACTGTGTGCAATGTTCTCCTGGTTCTGCTCACTTCACTCAGCATCAGTCCATACAAGCCTTTCCAGTTTTGTTGAAGTCTGCCTGCTTGATGAGCACTTCTTAATGGAGGATGTTACACTTCATCCTTGCCAAAGCCTCAGTGGCTCACAAATACGAAGTGCCTTCTGAATGTGTGTTGAGTCAAGTGACTGGTTCACATAACCAGAAAACGGAAGTTCCAGAATTAGAATTTAGGTCTTCAAATTCTTTAGCTCAGTGCTTTTCCTATTATTTTGTATTATCTCTACCTCCCAGAATCCCTAGTTTCCTCCAAAGCTACTCAAATGCCATACCCTGAATGAAGTATTTATTTAATGATCTCATCAGTTGTTAGCCCCTTCTCCCCTCCTGCCATCCACAATAAGCTGTGTTGTATGTATTTACATATGCATACACACGCGAGGGGCAACTAGGTGGCATAGTAGAAAGAGCACTAGGTTTAGAATCAGGAAGACTCATCTTCCTGAGTTCAAATCCAGCCTCAGACACTTACTAGCTATGTGACCCTGGGCAAGTCATTTAACCCTGTTTGCCTCTCTTTCTTCCTCTGTAAAATCAGCTGGAGAAGGAACTGGCAATCCACTCCAGTGTCTTTGCCAAGAAAACCCTAAATGGTATCATGAAGAGTCAGACACGACTGAAACAACTGAACAACAAAAACATATCCTGTGTATATGTGTGTATCCATGTAATCTCCCCTGTTAGAATGTAAACTCTGGGAGTACAGATACTGTTTTATTTCTGTCTTTGTATGCTCATTGTCTAGCATGATACCTGACACACTGAAGGGCTAAATGCTTGGTAATTAATTGATATTTTTTTAAGACATTATGTCAAGTAGTTATTTTGGATTATGAATCTTACCAAAGCAAAGAACATAATCCTAGGAAAATAGTTTTAGAGATGAATGGGTTGGCTTGCTAGTAGTCTCCTAATACTTCATATCATTTGGGTTTGCATCATGGGAATGAGATCAGCACCCATAAATGAGACTCTAAGCCAGATATATTCATGTAACCTTCAATAAAGTTCAACTTTAGCCAATGATTAGTTAGTGCCTAATGTTGGCAAAATACTGTGCTAGGTAGTGGGAAAGAAACAAAGATTTTATAAAATAAAATTTTATAAGACACAGTCCAAAAAATATTTGTTGATTACAATGATCCCTGCCTTCAGGAAGCTTACACTCACATTAGGCATATATGACACAAACATATAAATAGCAATAACAATAATAAAATTCATATAACATTTGCAGTGTTTTACTTTCATTATCTCCTTTGACCCTCAGAACAACCCTGTGAGGTAACTAGTTATTAGTATCCTTATTTTACACTGGAGAAAATCGAGGCTGAAAAAAGTTAGGTGACTAACTTAGCGTCATGCAGGTAGAAAGTATCTGATTAGGATTTGAACTTGGGTTTTCCTGACTCCAAATCTGGCACTCTGCAAAGAGATATTTGAAGACTATAGATGGTGTAAACCAAGTTCTCT